CACAATTAGCCTGCAAATCCATCTGGCTGGGTTCCGGGTGGCTCCTGTGCTAATGTAATGCTTGATCCTTAACAAATAATACTAGTAATGGGCTCCTTGGCAGGACCTGGGATTCTGAGCTGGGCCGCAAGGCTAGAAAGGGAATGCATCTCCTGGCGGGTGGCGGCTGGAGCACTGGGCATGGAGCACTCGCTGTCTAAGTAAAATAGTTCATTCATTTCCAAATGGGTGCTTGGGAGGGTTTCTCCAAAGTTCACCTAGCATTAACAAATCCTGGACTGAGTCCAAACGTGAGTATGAAATGCAAGTTCAGCCTTGGATAAAGGCTCAAGGCCAGTGGACAAGGTGAACCGTTCCCGGGGCAGATGCATTCTCTAGATGCAGAATCCGGCATGCCGTTGGAGCAAGCCAGCAAACCAGCACCATGACGTCCAAAACCTTGCGAGGGCCACAGTCCTGCCAGCCCAGCATTCTGCCTCTGCCAATGGTTGCAATAAGACAGACATGTGGGTGACTATCCTGCCAGGAACCTCAGAATGTGCTCCCCAAATATGGTTCTAGCTTCCTTCATAAACCACCATGACTTTGAGGCTCTTCCGGAGGGACCTCTTTTTCATTCAGCACCACCTCTTCTCGAGGTGACCAGCTACTGTCATTAGAGTTTGTGCCTGTCCTAGAGAATCTCTTCCCCAGCTGAGGTCCCACTATGTGCAGATCGCTGTGCTGGATGTTGAGGAGTCCCTGCCCACCAGGGGCTCACGGTCTCCTGAGACAGTAGAGCAGTGATGCCCAAAGGGAGGTCCCCAGACCTCAGCAGCAGCATTACCTGGGGCTAATGATCACTGCAAATTCTCGGGCCCCCGCCTGGCCCTAGCGAACCAGAAGCTCCTGGGTGGGGATCCAGCAGGCTGTCCCATCAAGCCCTCTGTGTGACACACTTCCCTCTGAGAACCACTGGCCTCAAGTCTGGAGGGAGGAAGGAAATATATTCTACTAACTACAACACGATCTGCCAGCCCTGGTGGAGCAGTGGTTAAGATCCGGCTCTCTCACTGCCTTGGCCCGGGTTTGTTTCCCATCAGGGAACCACACCAGCCGTCTGTCAGTTGTCATACCGTGGTGGCTGCACATGGTTGGGATGCTGAAAGCTGTGCCACCAGGATTTCAAATACCAGCAGGGTCACCCCTGGTGGACAGGTTTCAGCAGAGCTTCCAGACTAAGACAGACTAGGAAGAAGGACCTGGCCACCCACTTCGAAAAAATTTTCCATGAAAACCCTATGAACGGCTGTGGAGAACTGTCTGACAGAGCGCCGGAAGGTGAGAGGATGGCACAAGAAGACCAGGCAGGGCCCTGCTCTGCTGTGCACAGCGGGGCTAGGAGTCAGAATCCGCTCCATGGCACTAACACCACCACCAGCATACAGTGAGCTGCCTGCACCGGTACACTCACCCCACACAGCCCTGAGCTTCCTCCCTTCCCTCGTCCCCCCAGGCTTTTGTAGGGACAATTGTTGTCCCCTTACACAGATGAGGAAACGGAGGCCCAGAGAAGTGAAGTAACTTACTTAAGCCCACCCACACAGCTCTGTCTGCTGCCCTCTAAGCCCCGGGCCTCTGGTGGTTCCCCAAGTGGTTCAGCCCAGGGGTGCTGCTGTAGCCTCCCCCTCAGTCAGCATCTGCTGACCTTGTGGATACTTCCCCACATCACAAACAGCGTTGGCCTGGCTCCCAGTGGAAGTTAGCCTCTCAGCCCCTTGCCCTCTTCGACTTCCACAGGAAGGACACGGGCCCCTCTTTGAAATGCCCACTCTCTCATCACAGCTTCCCACTTCTGGGCCTCTCACGCCCTTCCTTCCACTGCACCGACCGTCTGAGGGCCTCATAATACCCCTTGAGTCTTCCCTGCCCGTTACATGGATCCGCTTCCTTACACCTCTCCATCATTCTAGACCCCACGGAACTTCTCTTCAAACCCTCTTCGACTCTCATGCCTCCTTGCTCTTCTATGCCATCTGTCTATACCAGCTGCCTGCCTTCCATGTCAACGCCTGGTGGCCGAGCTCTGTCAGAAAAACCCACACAATAGTGTGCGTTGGTGCCACACAAAGGTGCAGTGTCCAATCCCGCTGTGCTCTCAACACAACTTCCATAGCCCCCTCTCGCCTCCCCCCTCAGGAGTAATTCCAACCCTTCACCGGTTTCCCTCACCCACCCCATATTGCCTCAGCCCTCTCAGACGCAACTCACTTTGCTTCCTATTTCTAGAAGATAAGGAAGGCCTCACCCTTGACCTGGCGCATGCTGCAGCCACTGGGTGACTCACTGTGTCCATATAGCAATGCCCACAAGGAGGGCTCACCAGTAATCCTGGGGGTAGTGCCTGGCAGTGCCACTGGGAGGTGGGCTCTGGGGTCAAGAGGGTGTGGCCAGGGTGAGGGAAGCTCACACTCAGGCTGGCGCAGTCAGAGCGGGTGGCTCACTTGTGCAAACTGAGTGCAAAAGGCACTCCATGGCCAGGAGCAGACAGTCTGTTCACGCGAGCAAAAAGTACAGTGTGCTCCTCGCCCACATTTCTCCTCAGCCCTATCACAGGAGCACAGACAGGCTTTAGCATCTTCCTGAGCATCACAGATTAATGCTGCAGGGTGAGTCTGACAAGTGGGGATTGTTCTCCGAAGAGGAATCAGAAACTCAGCACATTAGGTCCCCGCGTACTGGCACGACCTCAGAATGGTTAATTTACTTCCTGATGCTCAGTGGTCTCATCAGGGTCCATCCGCATCTCCAAGTGCGTATGATTCCATGACACGAAGCATGTCTACTGAATCAGGCCTCAGGAGAAATTACCCCTTGAGGTGGAGTCTGCATGCTACCAGCAGCGTAGCAGGGGTGGCAGGAATCACACGAGGAACTCTGTCAAATGCCTCACCCAATACCCAGAGCTGCTGGAAGCTGGTGACCCCGTCAGGATGGAAACGAGCTGAGTCTGATGTGGCTTGCTGTTCCTGAACCTATGCCGACATGCAGGGGTTGCCACTGCCGTTTCTCAGAGCTGCAGACCATCTCTAAATCTCTTCTAGAAATTTGTCCATAATCGCTGTCAAGTTCATCGTTTGTAGCTTAAAAGCCCACCTGAGTCCCTTCGCGTAAGTCAGAGTTTCATTCCTGGGGGCAGGTACTGTTTTGTTCTCTTTGGCTCACTGCCACATCGCCAGCACCTGGGATGCAGTATGTCAGCAAATATCCACTGACGGAGTGAATCTGCCGCCTCCTGCATCTGGGTGCTCCCTCCCTCTTCCTGTTCTGCAGGAATGGCTGCCAGGGTGCCAAGGCTTGTCTGAGCTGAGTCCCTTGGATGGACTGGTCCACGCGGGAGCCTGGGGCCTTTCAGAGCAGTCCTGTCTCTCTTGCTCTCTTCCCTCCTACCAGAGAGGGGTTATCTCTTAGGGTTATACCATCAGCTTCTGAGAGTGAGCCTGTCCCTTCCTTCTCCTTGCTCCTCTGGACAGACCTTGAAATATCCTTTTGGGCATCTGTAGCATTTCCCCTAAGTTCAGAGCATTTGGGGCTGTAGCCTTTCGGAGCCCCTTCTAATTGGTCCAACGTCGCCTCATATTCATCTTTGGCTATGGACCCCTATTTCCATCTTCAGGGTGTGTATTCTTCAAATCTAACTGTGTGAGGGAGGTCTCACCAGCTTCCGAATCGCCCACAGTGTGACATCAGTGCAACAGTAGACAGTATGTGACATTCACCTCAGGACACTGCCAGCATCAATTCCCCTCCCTTCTTTTTTTTTTTTAAATAGCAAGCGATCTTTTACGTTTTTTAAATTTTTTATTTTCTTTTTTGAGGAAGATTAGCCCTGAGCTAACTGCTGCCAATCCTCCTCTTTTCGCTGAGGAAGACTGGCCCCGAGCTAACATCCGTGCCCATCTTCCTTTGCTTTATACGTGGGACACCTACCACAGCATGGCTTGCCAAGCAGTGCCATGTTTGCACCCAGGATCCGAACCGGTGAACCCTGGGCTGCCAAAGCGGAATGTGCACGCTTAACCACTGAGCCACCAGGCCGGTCCCCTTTCCCACCCCCTCTTCCAATTGTGCTGTCTCTGCTCAGCCTCACAGCCTGCTGTCTCCCGCCTGGACCACTGCCTGGCTAGTCCCCCATCAGAAGTCTTATCCTGACGCACACATCTCTCACTCAGCCGCCTGAGGGAGCTTGCTGAGCACAGCTCTGAGCAGAGGTCTTTGCTGGCTCTTGATGGCCACGAAGGGCAAATTCTTCGGAGCATACGACTTCAGGGTCCTGCCCCGCGGGCTGCACCCTCATCCTGGAGTGGTTGATCAGCGAGGGCCCGTAGTGCTTGAACCCTCTCACGTGACAGAGGGGAAAACTGAAGCCAAGCTCCCTTCCCGGCCGTGTCCACAGTCTTGCCCTGTGCTCCAGGGATGACTTGCCCTTTCAGTGCTTGGCTTCCACCAGATTTCTCTGCTTAGGCTGGTCCCTGGGCTTCAAATGCTTCTCATCCGCTTATCCAACTCCAACTCAGCCTTCAAGGCCACCTCAGAGGCCAGCTCTTCCATGAAACAGTCCTCATATTTCTACAGGCACACTTTATCTCCCTTGATAGTTTGTTGATGTCTCCATGATGGCATTTTTATGACATTATGCCTTCCCCCTGGACTGTCAATCTCTTGAGGGCAGAGACCCAGTTTTACTCATGTGGTATCCCCCGCAGAACGCAGCACAACTTAAGCACCCCAGTAATATTTTGTCCCCATGAATATTTGGAAGAAGGTTTATTTCTATCAGGAGTACTTACCTCCCAGGCCTAACACAAGTGGCTTCTAATCTGTTCTCATCTAGGGGCACATGGGGTCCCCTGGTTGTTCAAAGGCTTCAGTTCCTCAGGCTATAGGAACCTCATCACCATGAGGATGCTGGTCAGCATTTTTTTGGTGAATCAGGAGACAGAGCTTTTGTTTTCCTAAGGAAGAATAGGAAAGCTAGTTAAGAGGGAGAAATAAAAAAAACAGTACAGGTGTTTTTCTAGCCATGCAGAAATTTTCTTTGTAGAAGAATTTAAAACTCTAGGTGTGTCTCTGATTAAGTGGGATTTTAATTAGAGAAGATCAAGACCGTTTTGTAAGTCAAGGCGGATAGCGCATCAGAGCTGAAGGGACCTTGAAAAACCTCAGGCCCAGCCTCTGGGTCAGAAGGAGGAGTCTAAGCCAGTCGGTGGGACGGGCAACTGTCTTCCTTTGAACTCCAGGGAGGGAAACGCTACACTTTCATAGTCCAATGCATTTTTCTTAAGTCACTGTGGTGGTTAGGAACGTCTTCCCTGGACCTAAAAGTCCCTCCCATGACATTTCTGTGGTCACTTGGTTACTGAGGACTCACACACAAGGATGAGGACAATCCACTGTCCACTCCACGGTGAGCAGAGAGCTTGAAGGTTTCTAGGGAAGAACATAGCTAGGTCGGCCATCAGAGTTGGACATTTCTGAGCAGTACAGCTAGGAAAATTATGGCTGCGTTAGGAGACACTGGGGAATTCCTGAGTCTCAGATTCAGGATGAGAAGGGCCCTGAAAGTTAAAAAATTGATGTATAGTGCTTTTCTTCATTTTACAGATGATTAAACATGCTCAGAGAGGTTAGGCACTTGCCTAAGGTCACACAGCTATTGAATTGTGGAGCTAGGATTTGAATCCAGCTACAAACTTAGTTGTCATTCGGGTCTTTCAAAAAAGTCAAAATTGTGTACACTGCAAACAGACACAGAGCCTCAAAGGGTGACTGCATGCAAACTACCTGGAGATCTTGCTGAAATGCAGCTTCTGACTCAGCAAGTCCGCGGTAGGACCAGAGACGATGCCTTTCTGACAAGCCTCTAGGTGATACTGATGCTGCTGGTTCGCTGACCACAATCTGAGCGGTAAGGACTCAAGAGACCTGTTAATCACCTCACTGCTCACTCCTCAGGCTGCCTGGTTCTCCTGGGAATGAAGATTCACCAAGTGGTCACATGATCACTTTGAGATGGGGGCTATGAATATACATTCACTCCCAATTCTTCTCAGCCCTGAAGGAGGAAGCATCAGCTGGTTGCTCAAAGAGGATCAGTTGAGGCTTCGAGGCGGGGGAGCTGGACAGATCACAGCGTTTTACTCGGAGATAAGGGAAATAGGAGGACTTGGGTGCAATTTCTCTGGTCCCAAGACAGGCGCTTCTCCTGGAGACCAGCAGGGGGCGCACAAAGGGCGGAGACCGAGGGGAGGAGCCGCGGAACTGCGCCCCAGGGAGAGGCTGAGCTGGGGGCGGTGGAGGCCGGGAGCTGCTGGGAACTGAGCTGCGCGGATAAGTTCCTATTGCTTGCTTACGTGAGAGAGCACTCAGGTGCTCCTGGCAGGCCGGCCCTTCCTAAAGCAGAGGCAGAGGAGCTCACCACTGGATTTCAAACCAGAACTGTGCTGTCGTTTCTTCTGGAGCATGCACTTTAGAAGGAATTATCCACCCCCATCCCCAAGCACCCTTTGAAGCTCTGTATCTGTTTTGCAGTGTACACAATTTTGACTTTTTTTGAAAGATCCGAATGGCAACTAAGTCTGTAGCTGGATTCAAATCCTAGCTCCACAATTCAATAGCTGTGTGACCTTGAGCAAGTGCTTAACCACTCTGAGCATGTTTAATCATCTGTACAACAGCAACAATAACAGTTTCTACTTCCCCCAGGGAAGCATCATTGGTGGCTTCTGAGGACACCCCAGTGCCTGAACCAGCAAATCCAGTTATTAATGCGTAATCCTTTCATATTTCTTGCTTACTTAAGCAGACGGACATCATTTATCCAACCATGCCTCACTGGAAATGGATTCCTTTTAGAAACCGCTGAAGGGGAACAGAAGGAAACAATTTCTCAATACACTGGGGTGGTTTGGTCTTTCTCTTTCCTGCACTCGTCAGAGATTATGTAAAAACTTCCTGTTTTCTTTAACATCTTCAGGGGGCGGTCCCCCAAACCATGAAACAACAAAACCAGCAGCATCCAGAGGCGTTGATGCTCTGAAGACAGTATGTGGAAAACCCAAATGGTTTAGGTGCAGAATGGCTGCTCTTCATCCCCGCATTATGAACTACTGAGCACGCAGTTTTAAAGCATCTGATTGAAAGAAAAATTCCATCCGAGCGATTATTAAAAACTAACAACTAGCATGACACATTTAAAATCTCTGGGAAAAGACAGCGCGCCAAGGAACTGAACATGTCTACCTGTCTTCCCGTTCAGGCAGCACCAATATTCTCAACTAGAAAATTAACATCAGAGGCTCTGACAGGGTCCCTGAAGGCAACTCAGCTAAACCTGGCATGTTGATGGGCAACTCCAAGGTCAGGAGCCAGAGCAGGAGAGCACTGAGAAGTCTGATATTGCATCCCCTGAAAATCATGACACAGACAATCTGCTAAGAGCAGCGATAATCATTTGGATTGTGATGTGAATTGGAAGCAGTTGGGGGAGGCACGGGAAAAGAAACCTTATTAAACTCTTATCCGTTAGACACAGAGAATGGAAATGTGAAGAGATATGATGAAACACTTGAGAACTGTCCTGAGAGGATGTGGAGTCTGTGCTGGGTTAGCAAAAGCATGGAGAACACGCCTCCACCCCCACCTCCGGACCCCGGGGAAGGTGAGGGAAGGGGGACGGAGAGAGTCAGGCCAGAAGGAGGGGGTCCTGTGTCTCCAGGCCTGCCAGGGGCAGAGGAGGAAAGATGATTTTGTTGGCAGTGCCCCAGGGGCTGTGAGCCGGGCTAGGCGGGGCTGGGAACCAGACCTCTGCTGGAAACACATGTTCCTGCTATGTGTCCAGCATCTTGGACCCCCAGGGAGGTTCATGGAGTGTGGAAGCTGCCCTGGGCAGGGCTGCCCAGGGTGGCTGTGCTCCAGTCTGAGTGGGGATGGAGTCATCAAGACATTTGGCTCCAACCTGCTGTTGGTGGTAACTTCCAAGATGCATGAGATCACGGCAAAAACACTGGGCTGGGTGAGGGGGAACCTGGGTTCCCATTGTCCTCCGATCACCCCTTGGGCATCCTTGTTGAGTTTAACTTCCCTTGTGTTGTTTCTGCACGCGTACCATGGCGAGGGTGAAGTGGGAGCATTTTCGTATGCTGTAAACTCTAAAATGATCTAATGAAACTTGCTGAGCTCATGACAGCAATCACAGACCAGGGCACGATCTTCCCTGGAGTGGAACGTTCACTCTCCCTTTTGGCCAATTAATGAGTCTTGGTGGAAAACAATGTTATGAATGTACCCATAAAATGAATAAATAAAATGGACACACACACATCCTGGCCTTAAATACCAACTTTTTCCTCCCTAAGAATTTACTCTCAGAGGGGATTGCTTCTGTGGCTGGATAATATTTTGAGATTACAAAACTTTTTTCACTCCTTGTATTTCCGCCTCTCCCTGCCCACCTCCAGCCCTCAGGCAGTCTCCCAACATCACTGCCCCAGGCCAGGTATGTGGCAGGAGTGTACCCAGAAATAGCTTGCAAGTTCTTCTGGCTTTGATTTCTCAAAAAGGCCCTTAGGTTGAAGACACAGAGGCTTTTCTGGGAGGAAAAGAGAGGAGGGGGGGTTGGCGGGGAGAAGCAGAGAGGCTTAGAATAAACAGGAAGGGTTTTAAAATAGGTCTGTGGGCCCCAGAAGGACAGGACGGTAGCAAGACTCCAGAGAGCTGGCTGTGTGGTCAAGAAGCAGCAGAGACTGGCCAGGGAGTGGGGACATGCTCAGTGGTAACCTGTGTGGACCAGCCTGGTGAGCGGGATCTCTGGGATCCCTGCCCCCAGGTCTGGGCAACGCATAAGATCCGGAAATTGTGACGCAACCCTGGGGTAGTTTCTGCTCCCACCAGTCTGGTGAGATGAAGCCTTCAAACAAATATTAAGTTGATATCTAGGAAATGAAAGGAGAGGCAGTATTTCTTGCACGCCTGAGCGTGTTAGAGATTCATACTTGCTATCCTTTAGTTTTGCATGTTGGGAAAGAAAATAAAGTTAGCCTTGGAATTATCTAGAACCAGAGGAGTCTCTGACAAAGACAAGGGGGAATCTCAGATCAGAGAAATTCAAGGCTGAAAGCGGATTTAGATCTTGCCTTTATTATGGGTGGCTGAGGTTCAAATGCCGGCTCAGTTTCCCAGTCAACAAAATGGAGTAGTGATGAAGATTAAATGAGATCGGACATGTAGCTCATATTTTTGGGTCCCTTGTGATGGCTTGCACGTGGTCGATTTGTGGACTATTAAATTATTTATTGACTATTAAAGCTAGTCTAATGCACGACGAAGCTGGGTCCAGAGAGATAACTGGTTTGGTGCCCATGGACAAGTCATGCCGTCAGCAGAGCCAGGACTATGAATCTTGTAATAGGGTCAGGAACGTCTCCTTCAATCTATGGGCAAGTATGAATGTGCTTCTCTTGAATTACTGGAGTCGTTTAAGCGCCTGGACCCTGAAGCCCCACATGTCCAGTCTGAATCCTGGCTCACCACTCATCACTGTGATATCAGGTGAGCTCCCTGGGCCTCACTTTTGTCACTGAAAAATGAGAATAATAACAATACCCCCCTCATAGGTACTCAGAACAGTGTCTGGCTCAGAGTAAATGCTGTTTAGGTGTTTGCTATTATTACTGGTGTTATTAATTGGGGCACAGTAAGGGAGAAAATGTCTGGCCAGCACCCTTAGGAAGGAAAGGTGACTTTGGGGCATCTGAGACAAGTTTACCACGGGCCAGGGAGGCGAGAACCAATTACTTCCGCATTGCAACATCCCATTGTGGGATGTAGCCATGGCATGACTTTGGAGATGAGCCAAATGAAAGTTCTCTGGGACATTTGTGGGGGAGGGGAAGGAAGGGAGGGAGGTTTAAAAGAAATATAATCAACGTGAAGAGGGGCCTTTATCCATATTCTTCAGCGTAAATGGGCCCCTTGCCTCCTACTTTCAACCCTGGTCAGATTTTTCTTATCATAAAACAAACAGAGAAAATTACTTGACACAACCACTCCTCAGGTCATGCTGAGCAAGAATCTATCCTTTCTTTAACAGCCAAATTCCTCAGACAGGAAGTCTGAAGACTCCACCCAATGTTCCCATTGCCCATGAACTTGGCTCTCTCTGACTCCCTGAGATCTGGCTTTCCTACGGGGGCTCCCTTCTTGAATTCGCCTCCTTCTCATCCATCCCTGTGGGAATTTCCCACTCTCTTCGTTAGCACACACAGCTGTGGTCGCCTATTTCATCCTGAAACATCTCCGCCCTGGGCTTCCCTGATTTGCTTTCGGACATTCTGTTTTCTACTAGTTCCAGTTCCTTCCTTCTCCCATGCCCCTGGCTTGTAGGTTCTCCCCAAGACCTTGTTCTTGGCTGACACTTCTTCTCTCAGGGGTCACATCTGCTTTCGCAAGTTGGACCTGCCCCACTATACTCCAAGATCTCTCTCTCTCTCTCTTTCTAGCCCTGACATCACCTGTACTCAAAGCATGTATTTCAGCAGATACCCCCCCCTTGAATGTCCTAATATAACTTCAGATGCAATATGCCCCATGGTGACTTCATAATATTTGGAATTTTGAAAATCCTCCAGAAAACAGAAACATGGCACTCAGAAGCATGTAAGTGGACCTCTCCCTGGCCCAGGGACCCAACTCTCGTGTGGCACCACCTCCACCTGCCTCGCAGGTCATAAGCCAACCTTCTCCTTTACTTTCTTTGTATAACTAATCACCAAATCCCATTTATTTCCCTTTCCATATGTCTCTAGAGTTGTCCTTCCTCTTACATTTTCATCACCCTGGTCCCGCCTTCCATCCAATACATGTTTATTGGGCACCATCTCCCAGGAACGATGTTAGCCAAGGATGGGGAATGATGTTCATCAAGGATGAGCCCAACCACTGCCTTCAGGGAGCTAACAGCCATGAGCAGGGAGGCAGCCACCACAGGGCTTGATGCTGTCAGATGATGTGCCCGCGATGCAGTGGAGCACAGAGGAGGATGCGAAAAGCCAGCCCCAGGGAACTTCTTCTCCCAGAGGACAAAGACACTGAGTCCTAAGGACCAGGAGGAGTAAGCTAGGGATGGCAGTGGGCAGTCCTGGCAGAGGCTGCCGAACATCAGGGTCAAGGGAGAGGCAGGAGCCCAGGCCTGGGAGTCCCCTTCAGTCAGAGTGGCTCACAAGGTTGAAGAGTGAGTTCAAGGTGAGAGCTGAGGCTGGAGAGGATACTTGGGGCCCAAGAAAGACCTTGTATTCCATTCTGAGGGCAGTGGGGCTGCAGAGGGTTTGGGTATTGCTGCTGCATTAAACTCAAACATCTCCCGGATTTGGCTCCACCAAATTTATCCAATCTTAAATTCCCAATAATAACACAACCCACACCTTCTGCTCCAAGTAGGTGAAGTTCTTCACTGTGCCCTACATATGGCTGGATTTCAATCAAGAAACATATACCAAACGCCTGCTATGTGTTAGACACCAACGTTGGCTCAGCGGATCACAAGATGAGTGAGACACAGCCCTGCCTCCGTGAGTGGGGCAAAGACCCCTCAACTTAAATGGGCAATACAAGGTGACGAGAGCTTCAACTGGCAGGGAGTAATGGGGGACAAAGAGGAATTCCCCTACTCTGCCTGAAGACTGCGGGAGGGGCCAGCCAGGGAAGTTTTCATTGGAGAAGGTGCCATCTGAGATGCTTTTTAAAAATGCAGAGGATGCCCTGACAGCATCCTGGGCACAGGTGAGAAAGTGTAAGGAGAGAGGCATACAAAAAAGGCCTGGTCAGAACCTTCTGGAAGGTCAGTGTGGCAGGGGACACAAGGAGAGTGGCAGTGGCCAGAGTGGAAAGGGATGCTGGGAATTTGGACCGCGTCTGGTGGGCTGCGCGTGCCTTTGCTTATTCTGAGCTCCATATTATCCTTGGGCTTCCTTCCCTCTGCCTGGCCTGGTCCCTGACTGTTGTTTCTAAATGCAGCTGAAGACTGAGTAGCTCCCTGAAGCCCTCTCTGCCTTTTCCAGCCCACACTGGCTGTCTTCTTTGAACTAGCAGATGGTAGCACACCATTTCACACTTAATTGCTCTCTAATTATTTCACAGGTGCTGGGTTTGTCTCCGCCCCTAAATCTGGAAGGTTCTGAAGGGCAGGAACAATACCTCAAACGTGAGCTGGTCCCATAGAGCTGAGCACACCAGAGGTGGTGGCCCACACGTTGGTGGCTGTAAAACCGGCGCCAGGAATCGAGGATGCTTGAGATCTGACTGAAGATTGAGGTCTGCCTTCTGCTTCTTTTCCACAATAAGAGTGACACAAACACATCTGGATTCCATAACCCTATGTTCCCGTGATTTCCTGTCTGAGTCTGTGAACACGCAGAGACACACGGACAGGCCTATTTTGATGTCAACTCTCGGCGAAGCCAAACTTCCCGGTGCAAGGAAATCAACAAAGAAGGCGCTGAGATGCTGGGCACAACTTCCTCAGAAGTTTTCCCTCCTTGGAAACAAAACCAAAAGCCTGGCAGGGTCGGCTGTGCATTCAGACAACAGAATCTAAAAGCTTCTTGCTTTGCTCAGAGCTATAACACCCAAGGGGATGATCCCATGCCATCACTCAGGGTAGACGGATCAGTCAGGCTCATATGCATGGGTGCGGCCATAGTGATTATTAAAATATGCTTGGTAATAAGCTTTGGCCTGGGTCCCTCCTCTGGGGTCCCCCAGCACCTCCCCACAATCCCAGAACAAAGGGATTAGCATCAGCACCGTGGACCTTCTCCGAGGGCTCTGCCCCAGGGCTTCCCTTCTGACTGCCCCTGCCTGGCACACGGGAGGTTCCTGGCCACTGTCTTCTGCCCACAAGAACAAGGGTGAAGCCAGTCAGGGAGCCCAGGAGATCTTGGGCAGATTTGTGAAACGCAGGGAAAAATGATCAAAGGGCACATGTCTGGCAGGGGCCGGGCTGCTCCCCAGGGCAGCTGCACAGCATCAGCAGGTAATCCCAGATGCCTGTCTCCAGGCACTGAGCAAGAGGACAGCACCACGGAGGTACCTGACGTCCAAACGGGGGCATCCCCCGGACTGGGACATTGCTTAGCAACAGGATCTATCTGAAGGGCACTGGAGTGAAGCCACGTGTTTGTAGGTCCCATGCTGGATAGGTGTGTTCCAAACACGAGGTGACTCCACAGAGCTAACCCACTGCAAGGACAGTTCCCGCCACGGATTGCTACCCAATGTGGCCTCAGCAGCCTTCCTGGGGAGCACCCCTCACCCCCAAGACAATCAACCAAAGCCAGCCTCACCCCTTCTCACCGTGGTTTTCCAGGAGCTTTGCAAATGTGCTCTTATCTTCACAGGCAGATTTTCTTTTAAACACAAAGGCCAACAATATTTACCGCGCAGCCTCTGCCAGGCGCTCCACCTGGCGCTATGGGGCTCAGGGTTCAAGGCCTTTCCGTGAGACGCTCAGTAATTTCTGGGATTTCCATGGCCCCGCTAGAGGTGGCCGTCTCCTGTTTCCTAGGAAGACAGTGAAGCCACCTGCCCCTTTCCAAGGTGGGGTCGAAAGTGAAAATGAGCAAGTCTGGCAACATCCCCGTTCCAAGGTGCGGATGCAAGGGTCTTCCTCACAGCCGAGGTTGCCTCGTGTCCCGCCTGCTGGGCACAAGGTATCCACATGCCCTGCTCCCCCCACCCCTGGGGTCCCCGAGGGGCGGAGAGCGCGGTCCGGGATGGGACGCCGGGCGCAGGGAGGGGAGCTGGAAGCAGCCCCGGACGCCCCAGGAGGGGAAGAAGCGCCCGACGGCCGCAGGCAGCCCGGTCCCTGCGCCGCCGGCGACTCCGGGCCCAGCCCTGTCCCCTGCGGGGGGGCGCCGGCCCTCGCCGGCCCGGGTCCTCTGCGGGGCGCTCACCTCCGGGGAGGTCTCCCCGCGCCGCGCGCCTCCGCTCGCTCCTCCCGGCCGCACGCGCGGCGCCCCGGGAGCCGGGCTCCGGAAGACCCCGCCGGCCCCGCCCCCTCGGACAGGCCCCGCCCCTCGGACAGGTAACCTCTTCGCGCTCCTGGGTGAGTGGGGCGACCTCGCGTTCCAACTCTGGGGCTCCTGGGGCGCGCGGTGGTCCTTCTGCTCCCCTCCCGCGCCCCGTCCCCCGCCCCCCATCTCCCCATCCTCTGCTGGAGTTTGCAGGAAAAGGGACGTGTGAAAAGAAACCGGCTCCCCAGGGGCCCCCACAACCAAAGGGTTAAAGAGAGGTGACTATCAGAAAGAGGGGGAGTGGCTCTCCGGGGTGAAACCCAGTTCAAGGACAGATATGGCGCTGTCTTGAGTAAGACTCGGGGTGGAGGGAGGGTGGGGTGCGGGCACAGACTGTGCAGGTGGATGAACGCGCATCTCCACTAACCTGCCGCTGGGAGCCCGGGGTGATCACAGGGCAGCTGACGCTCTCGCTTACTGGCTGGTGGAGCATGGCAATATGATGGGGCTAGGTGGGAAGATGCTATACAACAAAGCCGGGCGCTTAGTTCCTGCGGAGGATCTCCTTGTAGAGACTTCTCGGCTCTCCTCCTTGGCCGGCAGCTTGAAGTGTGAGCGACAAATTGCCTCAGTCTCGAGGGACTGCATGAGGAGGGATGAGGTCGCCTTCCTGCTCAACCCCAAACCCATTGTGGGGTCTGTGGAAATGGAGGGGTACTCAACCCAGCGCTGTGCGGAGTGAGAGGCCAGGGAGAGCTGGGCGCCACAGCAGTCAGAGCCTGACCCTAAATGATGCCCTGCTGGGGCAGGACCAGGGTTCCCTTTCTGTCACGGAAGCGAGAGCATGTGGGGAGAGCTCCATACGTGGCCCCCTCTGCCCTGCTCTGCCCTGCTTCACAGGTGGACACCGCAGGACCAGCGTGGGCCTTGCCAGTCGTAGGAGCAGGAGCGCTGGGCATGGGTAGGAGAGGGAGGAACGTTCCAGGCAGTGTTGCAGCCTCCCAGGGACTCCCAGAGCCCTCTCCCCAGGGTCACTTCTGGCTTTGGATGCTGGTTCCAGTGACCTGGCTCCAGGGCCTCGTGTCAGACCTGGAAGGACCCTTAGGTCCTGTCTACCTGGCCCTATCTATGGACAGATGAGGTCATTGGGGGAGATGACAACCTCTACCTGAACGGCCAGGACAGCTTAGGATCTTCCCCCATGTGGTCCTTGAGTGAGCTTCCATGATCTGTCTCCAGTGTGGCAGTGGAGGGGCTGGTGCTCCATGTTTGCTGTTTAGGGCCGAGGGGCTGTCACTTTTTGTCTATTAGCATCCAGAGTAGCCACACCCCTCAGGACGCTACAGGTGCTCACAGGCAGAGCCCTCTTGGAGATTTGTCTCACTCCCCTGTTCAAACCTTCAGTGACTTCTCTATGTGCTGAGAATAAAATCCAGACTCCAGACCAGGGCCCTGGCAGCTTCTCCAGGCTTGTCTCCCCAGCCCTCACCTCTCAGGCTCCAGCCCCACAGCTGCCCTTTGCTTGCTTAGGGACTTCACGTGTGCTACCCCTTCTGCCTGGAATGCCCCTTCCCTATGACTTTGCATGGCTCATTCTTATCTATCCTTTAATCTACCCTCAAATGTCACTTCTGCAAAGAGAACTTCCCTAACCCTTCTATCTGAGTCAGGCCACTCCTGTTAATTTGTCTCCTGTTCTTTTTCCTTACAACTCTCACCTCAATTCGTAATTTTATATTGATGTGTTTATTGGCTCAGGGTCAGTCTCCCCTTAATATTTAATAGATTGTAGGCCTCATGAGTGGAGGAACCACGTCTGATCTGTCCCAGTTCAAATCCAGCACGTGACAGGTGTCTCCCAATAAATATTTGTTGGTGAAGGAATGAGTAAGCGAATGAATGATATTAGCAGTCTTCGTTTTAAAGGACAAAATTACAACTCCATAAACTTGTAAACACATGCATTAGTGACTATTTCCATTTTTTAAAAAAAAGGTTAACAACCAAAACAAGATTCAGGGAAATACAAACACCAAGGTTTATTAGTGCTTCTTGAAACTAACCCTGCGCTCAACAACCGTATATTACGCTTCTGCTGTAGACACTGTGCTTCTTGCAGGGAATACAAGTATGGATAAAATTTGGCTTTCACTGTCAAGGAGCTCACAGCCCAGTGGGGAGGGTGGACGTGTAAACAAATGGTTCTAGTAGAATTTGTCAAGTGCTACAATTACATACCTACCTACCCTGCCTGGAAGCCCCGGCATCCAGGATTTGATGACGTCGTTGCTGCAAGTAGAAAGACAATGACAATTTTGTCAGCTGGACAGGGGAGAGGGAGGGCATTCTGGGCCCGAGGAACAGCCTGCAGAGGAACTGGGTCGGGGGAGGAGGAAGGTGGCTCATTTGGGGACCTGCCGCTGGTTTGGTGTAAATGGAGTGCGGGTTGTGTGAGGGGGTCGGGTGGATCACAAGAGTCCATGCACGTATGCTGTGCTTAGGAGTTTGGATTTTGCTCTGGCTGCATGTGGGGACCGGGGATCCATTGGATGGTGTTCAGCAGTGGAGTGACATCACTCCTTCGTATTTGTGTATTGGAAGTATAACCCTAATAGCAGTGTATAGAATGAAGGTAAGGGGGGTAAGAGATGGGTGGTCTGTAGAAAATAAGCCCCGAGGGGAGGTTACCTCTGTTGTCCCGGCAAAGATAACAAGAGTGTAAGTTAAAGCAGTGGCATTCATTCATTTCAGTCAATAAATATTCTTTGACGCTTTTATGAGCCAAGCACCATGCTGTTGACAGAATATAACGTTAACGGCCAAGGTTTATTGAGTGCTCACTGTTTGCCCTGCTCTGTTCTAAGCATTAACATGCATTAACTGCTTTAATCCTCACCACAACTCTGTGAATCAGGTAGCATTATTACTCTCATTTTACAAATGGGGAAACTGAAGGAGAAGAGGTTATGTAACTTACAGGTGCTTGCACAGCTAGTGAATGACAGAGCCAGGATTTGAACTCAGGAAGTTGGGCTCCAGAATCCATGCTCTTAACCATTATCCTATACTGATATCATGGTAATAAAGAAGCAGGACGAGGCTCCTGGTCTCATAGAACTTACATTCTGGCCCTGGAGACGTCGAGGAGAAGACAGACTGGGGCAAGGTTTGGGTTGTAGACTCAGAAAAACGTGGTCCCTGCAAACAAAAGATGTCAGGGTAATTTCACAGGATATTGGCTTTGTGACTGGTGGATGGTTGTGTCAGTTGCAGAGTTAGGAAATGCAGGTTTGGGTGGTAGTGTGGTGGAAGGTGCACTTGGGGGGATAGGTTGAGTTCAGGTGGGGGTAAATTGGTGTTGGGCTGTCTGTGGGCTATGGAGGTGGAACCATCCAGCGGGAAGTTGAAGTCATACGTCCGGAGCATGGGAGAAACTTTTAAACGGAGACAGAGTTGGGAGGCATCAATACGGAGGTGACAGTCGAAGACACAGATGAAAAACAGTGCCTAGAATATAGGCAAGATCAAGGCCCAAGAAAGAGAATAAAAGTTCATAAAAGATTGATAGGTTTAACTACATTAAAATGAGACCTCTTTCATCAAAAAATATCATTAAAAGATGAAAAGAAACAAAACTGGAGAAGATGTTTGCAACACATATAACTACCAAGGACAAGTATCCTGATTATATAAAGAAGTCCTACAAATCAGTCAG